GGCTCTAGGAGGCCTCACGTGGACAACTCGCGCATGCGCCGCGCCGGCGCACCCGGGAGCGGGAGGAGGTGCGGCCCGCTGCACCGGCACGCAGGAATTGAAGCGTGCGCACGTATAGCGGTATCTAAGGCGTCTTCTTGGTAGCCAAAGCTGAAATGAGATTTGCTCTGAACACTACTACCAGACAGAGTTGCCCTGGAGAACCTCGTAATTATGTGCTGGATAATCAAGACTGCACCTTTTCTGTATAAGGATGTGGTTGAATGTAGCCGAATGTAACTCTTTGAGGCGCCTGGCAAGGAACAGGACTACAAATCCTGGCATGCCTTGCGGCGTCTGTCCTGCAGATCCCAGCATACAGTGCGCGGCTTCCTTTCTCCTGACCCTGACTTTTGGCGTTCCTCACCCGCTGTTTGCGCAAGAGCTCCGAGTTCCTACTCCCAAAGCCTTTCCTCGAGCTCACTTTCTCTGGCTAATTTCCCGCGCGGCTGCCTTTGGTCGCTCAGGTCTCTCCCAAGCATGTTAGTCTCCAAACCAGTAGTGAACTTGCAGGTCGCGGAGTAAGATCCCAGTTCCCCCAAACAAACTTAATAAACGTGTGAGGCTGTATCTACTACGTGTAGAATGAATGACGTAACATCCCTGCTCTGGAGGAGCACAACGATGAGTCGAGAGAGGCACGCTCCTCAGTAACTCACTGCTATGCTGGTAGGTATTTAAGAGATTGCAGGCACACAGATGAAAGGGTCTCTCAGAGGTTGGAGGGGTTGAGGTGTCAGGGAAGGCATCTGAGAAGTATTCCGGTTTTTTAAAAAAATGAGTCAGGTAGGCGTTGAGGTGAAGAGTATTCCAAGAAGCAAGAGGTTCAAAAGCAGATTTGTAGAGATGGAAAGTGCGTACCGTGTTTGCTTAAACCCTAAACTTAGGCGTGTGATGGGGATGAGGCCAGAAAGGTAAACCTTGCCTCTTAAATCTGCACACTCCCACCACCACCACAAATAATAGAAAGGGAACCTGAAGATTCATGAATGGATTTTTTAAAAATATATTTTATTGATTTTTTACAGAGAGGAAGGGAGAGAGATAGAGAGCTAGAAATATCGATGAGAGAGAAACATCGATCAGCTGCCTCCCACACATCTCCTACTGGGGATGTGCCCACAACCCAGGTACATGCCCTTGACCGGAATCGAACCTGGGACCTTTCAGTTCGCAGGCTGACGCTCTATCCACTGAGCCAAACCGGTTTCAGCTCATGAATGGATTTAAGATGATCTGTGCTCTTTGTCTCTCTCCCCATTGTACACTGAATTTTTGTGTATGTGTATATTAATCCATAGCTTTCATCAATAAAATTCTCCACAGGCTCTGAGATTCAAAGAAGTTTAAAAGCCACTGACCAGACCCTGGCCAGGTAGCTCAGTTGGTTGAAGCATCCTCCAGATACGCCAGGGTTTCAGGTTCAGTACCCAGTCAGGGCAAATACAAGAATCAATCAAGGGTATGGATTCAGTCCCCAGTCAGGGCTCATAAAGAATCAAGCAATGGATGCATAAATAAGTGGAACAACATACTGATGTTTTTCTACCTTCTCTCTAAAATCAATCAATCCATCAAAAGTTAATAAATAAAAAAAAACAACAACCACACACTGGCCCAGTGAAGGACAGTTACAAAGCTATTGTAAAATGCAAGGAATAGTTGAGAATTTGGTCTAGAGAACATAGAGCACTGAGGTGAGCAAGGGACATTTTAGAGAAAAAAGGAAAGGAGTGTCATGGGGATGAAAATGAGTAAAAGAGCTCTTTTGATATATTCAACCATATTGAATATTTAAAATGTTTCCAGCATAGTGGTTAAGAGAATGGGCTCTGGAGTCACATTGCCTGGGACTGAATCCCAACTCTGCCCCATTACTAGCCATGTATCTGTAGGCAACTTATTTTACCTCTGTGCCTCAGTTTCCTTTCTCTAAAACAGGGACATAACAGTAAGTACCACTAAGGATCATCTGAAGAATGAGATAACCATGTAAAAGCTTCATATAGTACTTGGCACATAATAAGTGTTCAGTATACCTAGTATATGAGTCCTGCCCAGCCAGTATGGCTCAGAGGTTGAGCATGGACCCATGAACTAGGACAGTGATGGCGAACCTTTTGAGCTCGGCGTGTCAGCATTTTGAAAAACCCTAACTTAACTCTGGTGCTGTGTCACATATAGAATTTTTTTGATATTTGCAACCATAGTAAAAGAAACATTTATATCTTTTAAGATTTATTTTATTGATTTTTGACAGAGAAGAAGGGAGAGGGATAGAGAGTTAGAAACATCGATAAGAGAGAAACAGCGGCCGAAACCGGTTTGGCTCCGTGGATAGAGCGTCGGCCTGCGGACTGAAAGGTCCCAGGTTCGATTCCGGTATGAGGCAGCCAATCGATGGTTCGCTCTCATCATTGATGTGCCTATCTCTCTCCTTCCTCTCTCTGAAATTAATAAAAAAAGGTATTAAAATATTTCTTACCATTATATATGCCAAGCAGAGCTCAGACACAGTTACTTCCCACAGGGAGCCCAAAACCTACAGGGAAAGAATGGGGGGAGGGTGTTGGTTGGGAAGAAAGACTTTCAGGAATAAAAACTGAAAACAAGCCCTGGCTGGTGTTGCTCAGTGGATAGAGCGTTGGCCTGCGGACTGAAAGGTCCCAGGTTCGATTCCAGTCAAGGGCATGTACCTTGGTTGTGGGCAACATCCCCAGTAGGGGGTGTGCAGGAGGCAGCTGATCGATGTTTCTCTCTCATCAATGTTTCTGGCTCTCTATCCCTCTCTGTAAAAAAAATCTATAAAATATATTAAAAACAAAACAAAACAAAAAAACAACTGAGAACAAGAGGGAAAAGAACTTGCATTTACCACCTCAGGGTGAGTTAGGAACTAGAGCAGAGCTCACTAATATGAAAACTTTGTCTGTCTTGTAACTTCCTCATTTTGGGGTATTTTAGTTTCCCCCTCCCCCATCTATTTCCCCATGGTGATTTTTAATTTTTACAAATGTTTTACAATTACAGTTCACATTCAATATTATTTTATATTAGTTTCAGTTGCATCGTCCCCATAGTTATTAACAGTAAAAATCCTTCACATTGAAAGGATGGGTGTATTCTTGTTTTAGGGGATAGCAAGAAAGCTGGTTATTCTTTGCTTTTAGGAAGGAGAGAACCCCAAGGTAATGGAGTGGGTGATGATGGCTACTAATGGGCCCATCCTAAGCTTGTTAGCAAAAACTGGAATGAGCACACAGGCCCCACGAACCCACACTCCCAGGCAGGATAAGTTGTGTGCCTTTCCCCTACCCCAACTCCCTTCTCCAGTCTAAAGCCAAAAATTTTAGCTTTAAAGAGAAACAAATGTTATTTGCAAGAGGCACACAGGTTTCTCAAGCATCTCCCCCTCTGCCCTTTTCATTTTAATGTTCCACTGGACCCTTGCTGCTCCCCTGAGGTAGTGAGATCTGTGAGAGCTGGCAGGAAGATTTAAGTATGCTCTACTCTGTAATATCCTGCAGATACTGACTGTCCAAGGTACAGTACAATGGGACTGGTAAAGTCCATGGCTAATCCATGGGAGGACTGCTTATCTCCTCATGTGAGGAACCCTTTCAGGGAGGGCAGAAGGTCCTCAGTCAGTCTCTTCAGAAGCAATAACAGCTAGCTCACAATTTCTCCAGTTGTAGCATTTCCTCTCCTCCCCAGGAGAGTAGGGGATGATTCCAAGAGGGTGTGAAATGCATAACCCAGATGTTCCCGGACATGACATCTGCAGTGTCTCCAGTTCCCTGCAGAAGAAGGAGGTGAACTGTGTCCTCCTCTCAGTTGCCTGGGTTTTCTGTGGTAATGATTTCCTAAAAGGCCCTTTAAACAACAGGTGGCTCCAGCTCAAAGCTAAATATTCTTCTGCCCAAACTAGGCTTAAACTAATGTTTTGCAAACCTGAAAAATTAAAGGAATTTTCTCCAAGGAAAAAAGAAAGATCACAGACACTGAGAATAAAGTTCTGGATCCTCTGGCAATCAGTAGACTCTAATGTGAAAAGCATCACCTTATTAAAGAATGATCTTTTAATATAGTGTTATTGGTTTCAGAGAGGAAGGGTGAGGGAGAGAGAGAGAAACATCAATGATGAGAGAGAATCATTGATTGGCTGCCTCCTGCATGCCCCCTACTGGGGCTCGAGCCCACAAGTGGGCATGTGCCCTTGACCGGATTCGAAGCCAGGACCCTTCAGTCCGAAGGCTGATGCTCTGTCCACTGAGCAAAACTAGCTAGGGCAAAGATGGTCTTTTCTATGAAACTGCCCTTTAGTTGTGAATTATCATTTTGTGTTTCTGTTAAAATATTTTGCAAGTTACTGCCAAAAAAAAAAAAAAGTCAACACAGCTCTCGGTGGGCTTAAGCTGGTTTTGCTTAGTGTGTGGACCGGGTTCGATTCCGGTCAAGGTCATATACCATGGTTGCAGGCTTCTCCCCAGCCCGGGCCCTGGTCAAGCCTCATGCAGAGGCAACCAATCCATGTGTTTCTCTCTGTCTTTCCCTCTCTCTTCCATTCTCTCAAAAAATCAATGGAAAAATATCCTCGGGTGAGGATTGAAAAACAGAACCAAACAAAACAAAACAAAATACCCCAGGTCTGGCTGGGTGGCTTAGTTGGTTGGAGCATAGTCCCTTACACTAAAAAGTTGTAGGTTCAATCCTCAGTCTGGGTGCATATGGGAGGCAACTAATCTGTGTTCCTCACATTGATGTTTCTCTCTCCCTTCCTCTCTCTCTAAAATCAATTTTTTAAAAAATCCATGGGTGAGAATTAAAAACAAAAATAAAAACAAATCATTAGGTGTAGTAGTAAAATTTCAGAGCTCCAAGAACACATGGGTATACCTTCATTTGAGAAACAACAAAGTCATGCTGTAAGGGAGAATTATGAGTG